TTTATTTTCTGTAATGCCTAGTAGCAGCAATGGCATTTATTTTCTGTAATGCTATAGTAATCATGACACTGTTGGAGGAGAATATTGAAAGTGCCATAGGCTGACAAAAGAACCAATAGATCTGTTTTGGAAGAAGTGCAGCCAGAGTGCTCCTTGGAGGCCAGAATGGCCAAACTTCGTCTCTCATACTTTGGACATATTGTCAGGAGGGAGCAGTCACTGGAGAAGGATATCATGTTTGGTAAGGTGGAGGGTCAGAGAAAAAGAGGAAGAGCCCCAATGAGATGGATTGGCCAAATGGCAGCATCGATGGACTCAAGCATGGCAACGGTAGTGAGGTTGGCCCAGGATCGGGCAGTGTTTAGTTCTGCTGTGCATAGGGTCGCTATGGGTCGGTACTGACTTGATGGCACCTAACAACAACAATCATGCCACTGTGTCTGTAATGCTTAGAATCTTAATTTTTTTTTTTTGCAAAACAGTATAATATAAACATTATTGCTTCATGTTCTTTTAATTATTTTTAAGGTCTATTTATAGTATTTGGCTGAATCTTCTTGAGGGTCAGGACTCCTGTTTTGTAATGGCAACACCTAATCACAGTGCTTGTCTAGACTCGTGTAGGGACCTAATAAATGCTAATTAAATTCTAGACCCGAACAGTTAATCCTTCTCCATCCCTACCTTCAAGGAACTCCTTCTGGGTGAGGAGACATACATATCTTTTCATTATTTATGTATTTTCTAATTCATAAATAAATAAACAGTTAAGTGCTTAAGTGCTAACCAAAAGTCAGCAGTTCACATCCACCCAGGGCTCTCCCAGGAGAAAGATGTGGCAGTCTGCTTCTGTAAAGATTACAGTGTAGAAAACACTTCGAGGCAGTTGTAGTCTTTCAAATGGGGTCACTGTGAGTCAGAATTGACTCAGCGGCACCCAACAACTCCTTGTCCCTCGTAGACATGGTCTGAATACTGAGATCCTAGCAGTGAACAAAAACCTCACCCCTCAGGACATTCATATTCTAAAGCAATGATTCCAACCTTGAGTGAAATCATCTGGAAGCTTTTTAAAGCAGGTTGGTGGACCCAACCCTAGAGTTTGTGAATCTGTAGGTCGCTGGTTGGGCTTGAGAGTTTGTATTTCTGATGTTGCTTGTCCAGGACCCACACTTGGCAAACCACTCACCTAGAGGATAATTTAAAATAGGGTATGACAAGGAGCACGGTTGTCCAGTCTTCTGTTGGAGAAGGTCACAAGTATGATTGTCAAAAGCCTCTCCAACTCTTCAGTTTCCAATAGAGAAGGCGATGTCTAAGATAACAACCTGTATCCAGAGTCCGCTACCCGCTCTGCAGGGCCACTGAAGCCCTGGGTCAATAAGGAGAGAGGTTAGAGTAATAATAATGATTTCTGTGCCTGGTCCTGCAGTGCACTTTCCATACGCAATGTCTCATCTTCAAAGCAAAGGCAACAGGAATATTATTCTTCCCATTTTATAGATGAGAAGACTGAGGCACAGAGCAGTTATGTAAACCACTCTAGTTCACCAAACAAGTCAGCAACACATCAGCCTCTTTTGTCTTCATGATTCCGTAACCATCAGTAGAACCCCTTTTTAGTGGTATCAAAGCTGTTTCATAGCCCATGCATCAGTAGTCATAGCTGTTTCCTCTGTGGTGAGACAGGGGCTGGTGCAAGGCTGTCACCTGTTCCTCAAGTGTGATAGCAGCTCGAGAGACTCAGACGAAAGGGCTCGGGAACTGAAATAGGCCTGCTTTAGGGGGCATAGTAGGTAATTGCCCTTCCTGTGAGAGCTACATCTGGAAAATGGTATTTTTTCACAAATGTAGAAGTTTGTACAACAGTAAGTGTTAGTTTCAGGTTCAGTGCATTGAGAATCTGCATAACATTTCAAACTAAATGAACTGTCAGCTTTCCTGAGTCCTTCTGAGGAATCATATCATAGGCTGGCAGCTTTATTTCATTTAAGACTAGAAAAATTTCTAGAGAATGCCTAATTTCTACATAAAAGCAGTCTCCATCCACTGAAGTGGACCTCTGAGAAGTTAGTACAAGAAGTCCCCCACTCTCAGGCTGTGACATTATTTCGAATGCTGCCATCGGCTGCAGTTGACCCCACATCTGTAAGATTACCTGGATTATTCGACTTCAGCTCCCCATGCAAGAGCCTTCACAAATCTGTGCTCTAGCATAATGCCTTCACCTTCTACCAAAGGTGAGCATTACATGGCATAATGTATCTATCCATTTTCTATAAAACTAACTAAGACAGTTTGCTCCCTGTCTTTATAAGAGTCCCACAACAAATTCCTCTGTTCATTGCTAGTAAGATCTGACATGCTTCCACTTTCATTTAAGGCCTGTAAAATCGGTTGTATTTCTCTTTTTGCCTTTGTTGCCAGGAAGCTCAAAGCTATGTTTTGTATGCATTAGCTTCCTCTAACCTAGGTTCTTTGGTGTAGTTATCTCCCCAACTTTGTCATTGATTGAGTCTTGGTCTTTTGCCTTTAAAACTTTTGCTACCTGTGTCATCTTTTAGAAGCTTTCCAAAAAAATTTCTTAAAGAGGGTAGATATCACAGATTAATGAGTGACAAAGGTAATTTTTGGAATAAAAAGGATGAGTTTTTTTAATGTTTGAAAGGTGAATTGAGTTAACCATGGCCATATTACAGACAAGATATGCCCATGGATGTGTGCAACTAGGTACTTGGTGCCTTGAGATATTTCCGTTTGCTTAAGTGATTAAGAAGACTCCTGTGTGGTGCTGTAGGATTAGCACTGGAATTCGAACTACAAGGCTGGCAGTTCAAACCCACCAGCTGCTCCTTGGAAGGTCTGTACAGGGTTTCTGTGAGTTGGAATCGACTTGACAGCACTTAACAACAACAACAACAGCATGATTGAGAGAATAAGCTTTGGCCCACACTAGACCTGATGTTGAACCCTATCTATTCACTGCTTGCTTCATAACTTTATAGTATCTCTGGGCCTCAGGGTCCTCATCTAAAGTAGAGATAATGATACTATGGATGCTTAATGAAGGATTGTGGTTGGTGGTTATGTGCCATGGAGTCGGAACCGACTCACAGCGACCCTGTACAGGGTTTCTGAGGCTGTAAATCTTTACAGGAGCAGAAAGCCTCATCTTTCTCCTGCAGAAAAGCTGGTAGTTTCAAACTGCTGACCTTACGATTCGCAGCCCAATTCGTAACCACTATGCTACCAGAGCTCCTTAATGAAGGATTAAATGAAACAATTTATGTAAAACACGTAGTAAGGTGCCTGGCATTTAGTACATCTGCAATGAGTAGTAATTACACAGATTGCTGTAGCTAACCTATCATAGACAAGACTATGGAAAAATGGAACCACACATATACAACCGTTTCAAATCAACTTCTAGATGTACAACATGGAAACTAAAGCAACCTTCTGCTAAAAGTTAAGGTTATACATCAACCAGGGCTACCAAGACTTACTTCTCCATTAGTGAGAACAGCTCCATATTGTCATTTAGTATTAATTCTCAAATGACAGTAGATGATCACTGGAGATGCCTCGTGCTTTTCTCAGGTTATCCACTCAGGGTTTGGTGACTAAGACTTGGAGAACTCTGAGGTCTCTCTACTGTCTTACTTGTTTGTAAAGTGATTTGAGCATCCTTACCTGGAAAGTCCCCTAAAATCCGTCTTCTAGTTTTGACTGGTTCTTGCTTGGTTTTTCTTAGGTTATTATTACTTTCAATTTATTTTTAACTTATTACTACTAAAATTCATGGTCTAGGGGTGCTTTGGGGGCAGGAAGAGAGTTAAAGCGTATGGTGCTGTGAGTTAATGCGCCAGGCTGCAAAGCCGTTTAAACTGCAAGGTCGGCGGTTCAAGCTCACCAGCATCTCCTCGGAAACCCTATACAGGGTCTCCATGGGTCGGAACTGACTCGACGGCACTTAACAACAACAACAACATACTCTGGTAGCGTAGTGGTTACAAATTGGGCTGCTAACCTCAAGGTCGTAGTTCAAAATCCCCAGCTGGTCCGTGGGAGAAAGACGAGGCATTCTGCTCACGTAAAGATTTACAGCCTCAGAAACCCTGTATAGGGTCGCTATGAGTCGGAACCGACTCCACAGCACACCACCACCGCTATACTCTATATAGGCGGAAGACCTCTTCTTGCAGGAGCTGGGAAGTGACCAGAAACAGTTACCAGGTAACCTACCCTAGATGGTGTGTACCACAGTTGGTGATGAGTTTGCCAGAGCATTACCTGCCGGTGGGTGTGGTCTTTAGGTCCCCAAGGCCTGAGGCCTACAAGCACTGTGAAAGTAGAAGTCCATCAGATTTCCCCTCTTGTAGGGAATGTACTCATCAGCCTTTGCCCAGGTTATTTTCCTCACCTCTGCCATTCTTTGCCAAAACAGTTGTTTAAAAGAGGAAGTCCTCAGGGTCATAAAATGCTATCTGATAGTTAGTATGTGGTGATATAGACATACTATGTTTATATAGTAGTCTGATTGGCAGGAAGTAAGTGATTCATCAGAAAGAAAGGAAAAAAAAAGGAACTATCAAAATGAACTTCCTCTTTCAAGCTCTGTTTGTTCCAGCTCATCCTTTTAGAACTTTTTTCTAGCTCCTCGGTGGCACTTAATAACAACAACAGAACCACAACAACTAATAGGGACTAATTCAGTGTTTCAAAGAGTTAAAGAAAAGTAATACCAATCCCACATAGCCAAGTGCTTTATTTTTTTCATTAGACAGATTACGAACAAACAACAAACCCCATTCTGTCTTACCAGAGTTGGATACAGGCATTGCCCCTGTTGATATGGTTGGCACCTCCTCCAGCGCCATGTTTCTCATGTTCAAGTTGGAATACCCTCAACAGCCTCAAGCGAGATGGCTTGGACGTTGTACATGTTCCCTTGGTAGAACTCCTGTTGACTTGTTGCCTTCACTTTGCTTGCCTCACAGGTCCAAGATGCCGCAAGTCAGGGCCTGAAATTCGTTGGCGTTATACCTCAGTACCATTCCCCTATGAGCTCAGCAGGCAGCAGCCCTTGGATCCCAATTGCCAACAGCAGCGGGGATCCAGGAGATTCGAGAAACGTGCCAGGCCATGGGGATCACACCTCAACGAATAAGGAGAACCCCAGGGCTGCGGATGTGCACAGCACACAGGCAGGGACCAACAGAAGCCCAGAGCCTGGCCTCGGTCCAAGAGGGCAGGTGCTCATCGAGGAGGGAGATGGTGGAGAATTATTATCACAGCGGATGAGTAAGACACTGGAGGGGCAGGACGGTATGCCACTGGAAGAGCCACTCTTGGGAAGTAAGTATGTCATGCCAGGACTTTTGACCCACTTAAAGGGACACTGGCAGTTTGCCATGAAGAACTGGTGGGTCCGTATAGAATTCTAAGGGGGGAAGATGTTGGAAGTGGGTTTTAGAATGGGAGTGACTTTTTTCCCCCTGGTCTTGCATTGCCCTTGAATTATTCTACTTTGACACAGGATACCAACTTCTGTCAGTGCAGGTTTGCATGTTGCTGTGAGACCAATCAGGTTTCAATAACACGTTTAGACTAAAGATGGACAATGGAGAAAAGCTTAGTAGCCTACTTCCAAAATCAAAATGAAACACCTAACAATGAATGACCCACAATCATGGGAATGGCACAGGATGAAGCAGCAACTTGTTCCATTGCACATAGGGTCAGGGGCTGACTGTTCAGCAGCTGACAACAACAATAACAACAAAACAGTTCTTCAGTAATCCCCATGGCATTTCCCAAGAAGTGAAATTGTAGTGTGGCAACAGCAGTCCATCAAACAGGGCAGCCCCACTGTGTACTTGCTGAAATTGTGACTTGTGGAAGGGTGGAGCCACATGAAATTGACTGTAGTTGCTCTAAAATATCATGTTGGAAGTGGGTTTTAGAATGGGAGTGACTTTGTTCCCCCTGGTCTTGCATTGCCCTTGAATTATTCTACTTTGACACAGGATACTAAGATTTAAAATTGATTCAGTGACAGTGGGTTAGGTTTGATTTGGCTTGGCTTGGCACAGGAAGTGTCACTGTGCACGGCACCAATGCAGAAGGTACACCCACTTTTGAATAGCTCATTTTGATAATCTGCTTAAAGCAAGAAATCAGGAAAGCCAAATGAGGACAAATTAGGGAGGAAACTGGTGATTCAACTATATGAACAAGCAGATTGCAGAGTTTATGTATTTGACACATTGTCTCTGTTGAGAGAATGATCTGCCCAGGAGAGGTGGCCGGTATGTGAGCCCTCTTATTCCCATTGTGGTACCATTAGAGCATGTGTTTTAGGTTGGGAATTTCGAACAGCAACACAACAGTTATAATAGCCAACTTCATTAGCATTTCTTGTGTACTAGGGCCTATGCTAGCAAGCATTTGGTGTGAACCATCTCTTCCAATTCTCCCTCTAGTCCTATGACGCTGTCTTCATTATCTAGTGCTGCTATAACAGAAATATCACAAGTGGATGGCTTTAGCAAGCAGAAATTTATTAGCTTAGGAGGCTAAAGAACCAATCCAGGACACCATCTCTGGGGGAAGGCTTTCTCACTGTCAGCTCTAGGGGAATGTCCTGTCTCTTCTCAACATCTGTGTGCCTGGCATTCCTTGGAAATCTCCATTTGTCTTGACATCCATCTTCCCTTGGGGTCTAGGAGACTCTCAACACATGGACCCTGGGTTATCGCTCTGTTCTGGCTTTTTGTTCTTTCTGTTAGTCAGGTCCCTTTCTTTCTGCCCTCTTCTCTCTCCTTTCATTTCTTATAACATACAAGATGATGCAGCCCACACCCTAGGGGAATTCCCCTTATCACAGATCAGGGCTGTGATGAGTAAGACTGTTGCATCCACCCTAATCTGATTGGCTGATCACATCAGATCACGTAACAATTACACACCATATAGCAAAAGTACCAAACCACTGAGAACCCCTGGCTTAGGCAAGTTGACAAAAATTTTGAGGGGGACACATTCAATCCATGACAAATATGGATGAACTCTTATTTATCATTTTCCCTTTTACAGCTAAAAGCACTGAGATCTAACAGAGTAAATCTGTTGCCCAGGTTAGAAATTGGTAGATCCAGCACATGAACCAAGAAGGCTTAGCCACTAACCCAGCTCATCTTGCTATTCTATTCTTCCTAGATTATCAAGGTTTACTAAGGTTCTTATTTACGGGAGTGAAGATTCTCTTCATTTGCTTGTATTACCCTTCCCCCTTCTTTCACCAGCAAATCTAGAGTCTGCCCATTTCCTGAAGAATGTTAACCTTGATGCTGTATCTCTCTGCTCAGGGGTCACTCTGAAATTTAGGCAGTTTACTCTTGTCCTGGTGGGGCATTGTAGGATAAGCACTGGACTTCTGACCACAGGGTTGGCAGTTCAAACTCACCAGCTGCTCCTTGGAAACTACCCAGAGTCGATGTGAGTCAGAACCAACTCAGCAGCACTTAACAACCACCATTATTGTCCTTTAGTCCTCATTTTGTGGAATAAATGAACATTTGGATTTTTCCATCAGTTAATGAGCACTCACTGGTTACTACTGGGTGTGTTGACAGTATGGGATTGCCCAATCAACAAGGTAAACACAGGCTAACTAGTGCTTGCTTACTAATCTATAGTGAACAGTTTTACTTATTTTTCACCACATCAAAGGCTCTGCTTCTAGGTAAAGCTGGCATCCAGCTCTCTCCCCACCCCACAGCACCTGCCAGTTGAACCAAAGCCTCTTTTCGAATTTACCATCCCAGACAGGGAATGAGTTCCTAATACACAAGGTAAGCATGGGCTTACATGTGCTTACCTACTAGTCTGTAGTGAATAGTTTCACATGAGTTTCACCACAGTAAAATTAGTAAATGAGCATAAGTAAGCCTGTGCATACCTTGCTTATCGCCCTGATGCATGACCTTCTCAGCGTAGGCCAGATACTGTTAGGATGATAAGCATCTGCTTAGTTACTAGTGCTGCTGTCAGAGATACCACAAGTATGGGGCTTTAGAGAACAGAACTTTATTTTGTCACAGTTGAAAAGGCTCAAAGCTCCAGTTTAGGATGTGTGTAGAGGAAGGGCCTACTGTTTATTTCAAGTTCTAGTAGCCAGCAATGGTCGGAGGTCCTGGGATTGTAGGTTTATTCACCTCAGTCATCTTTCACCCTGTGAAAGCATCTTTCACCCCTTTCCCCGTCCCCATGTCTGTGTCTGTGTCTGTGCCCCCACTGTATGTTTAATCTGCTCTTCTTTATGACTCAGAAGTTGTTTGGTTTAGGACACAGCCTAAATTGATACCGCCTCATTAAAATAGGATTACATCCAAAGTTTGGACTTCTGGTGTGGTGCTGTATGATAAACACCGGACTGGGAACCCACCAGCTCTTCCTAAGAAACCCTATACAGAGTCGCTATGAGTCAGAACTGACTCAATGGCACTTTAAAACATCCAAGCTTTAGAGCAGGGGTGGGAAATCTGTTTTCTGCCAAAATTTGTAACATCATTCATGGGCCATAGAAAATTATCAACTTAAAAATTAGCCTGCTAATTAATTAACATTTAATTAATTCACCCCTAATATGATGGCACTTAACAACAACAAATATGATGGCTGGAACTATGGTTGCCTTGGCAGGGCCAGACCAAATGATTCTGCGGGCCAGACATTTCCCACCCCTAGTTTAGCTTTTGAGTTATGGTGTTGAAGGAGAATATTGAAAGTGCCATGGGCTGCCAAAAGAACCAACAGAGCTGTGTTAGAAGAAGTATAGCCAGAGTGCTCCTTGGACGCCAAGATGGCCAAACTTCGTCTCTCATACTTATGACATATTGTCAGGAGGGACCAGTCACTGGAGAAGGATATCATGTTTGGTAAAGTGGAGGATCAGAGAAAAAGAGGAAGACCTCCAGCGAGATGGACTGGCAAAGCGGCAGCATCAGTGGGCTCAAGCATGGCAACAATTGTGAGGTTCACCCAGGATCGGGCAATGTTTCGTTCTGTTGTGCATAGGGTCACACTATAAGTCGGTACCAACTAGATGTCACCTAACAACAACAACAAGTTTAAGGGATACTATTCCACTACATTTTGAGGGTCACAGTTCAATGCATGAGTGTATCGGCATCTCAGTCACTCTTCATAATAGGTTTAGGACAGAAATTATTATGATGCCCATTTCACAGATGAGCAGTCTGTTTCCATGCAGTTTCTCATGAACAGTCAGTCTCCTTAAAGACCTGTCAGACAGGGGCTCTGGGTCCCGTTGGTCATGGCCCTCACCTGACCTCCAGCTTCTCTGTCAGTCTTTTCCTAAGAAGTCTGGTGGGTTCCTTCCCTGTGAAGTATTCTCACCATCACCCCCCACCCACCCAGCTACCTTGCTTCCCCTCCCTGCTGCTAGTTCAGCTTCCAGCTTGCTTTTGTCTCAGGCCCCCTAAGGAGGTTGAAGTGTTTTTACTCCTCTTTCTGCCAGGTGGGCTTAAATAGGCAATCACACAGCAAAACAATTAAAAAAAAAATCCAGAGGGAGATTCCCTCCTTCCCCCTCCTTCTCCTCATTTAATTTATTTCCTTTCTAGGAGGCCTGAGGGAGCAGTCCAGAACTGCTCAGCCAGGGCTTTCCAGCAAACTCTCCAGCAGACGGCAGACTGCCCCGCCCCCGCCTCACTCTAGCCCAGAGCTTTTGCCCTCCTTTGCCCCCACAGGTGCCAGGGGCAGCCAGTCATGTGCCTGTCTTCCTGCTTCTTGACTTTTATTTCCCCACCCAGGAGAGTTTCCTGTTTGTTTGATGTCCCTGTGGTGAAAAGAGACCACCTGCAGGAGAAATAACAGCCCAACATCTTGCTCCAGGCCACTCCTCCCTCCTCATCTGCCCTCACCTTATTGTAAACTCAGTCCAGTTCTTTCTCATCACCCCCCAGGTTCTCCTGCAGCTCTGCTCAGAAGCGTAAACCCAGTCTAGGTGCTACTTCCCTACACATTCCTGTGCTTGGGTATCACGTTTTCTTCATTTGTAGTAAATAGGACTGGGTTGAGAAAGGCTGGAGTCCCTGGGGGAGTGCAAATGATTAACACACTTGGCTATTAATCAAAAGATTGGAGATTGGTCGTTCACTCAGAGGCAACTCAAAAGAAAGGCTTGGTGATCTATTTCTGAAAAATCAGTCAAGAAAACTCTATTGGAGCACAGTTCTACCCTGACATTCAGGATCACTGGGAGTGAGAATCGACGTAATAACAACTGGTTCTTGGTAGTGGGGAAGGCTTCTTGTTGTTGTTAGGTGCCA